GCTTCGTCGCTGAACACAATTTTTCGATAAAAATGTGGATCTTCCTCGAACTTTGCCAGCGCCCATTCACCAAATTGGAAACGTTGTGGAAGGTCGTGTGTCTTCAATTCTTGCACCAGCTGTATCTTATAAGGTTTTACACCCAAATCATGTCGCAAAATTTTCCACGTAGTGGAGTAACAGAGACCCTATTGCTGCGAACGGCGTCGAATTCACATTTCACGGTCATCACTAACACTGGCGGATTCAGCCCCAATATTTTCTTCAGTCCTCACTCTACGTCTGCGTGTTGGTGGTTTAATGTCCAATAATGTAAACTGGGTTCGAAATTTAGTCACAAGCTTCCGAATAGCTCCCTCAGTAGGCCGACCAAATTGCCCATAAATTGTAAGCAGTGCTCGATGCACTCTCTTAACCGAGCATGAATTTTGATAGTAAAATTCAATAATTTGCAAGCGTTGTTCGTTCGTAAGTCGATTCATGGTTAAATTATAGACCAAACTGAACAAGTTTGACAATGACACAAGACACGATTCACGCGTCATCTGTCAAAAACAGTGTTGCCAAAAAGATACTAGCAAAAAAATCGCCCATTACAATTTCATTGAGAGTAGTTAGCAGCCATAAATTCAGCAGCTGTGGAGCGGCTCTAAATGGCGCAGTAGCACAGCCTCGGTTTTCAACATGTGCCTTGTAAAATTTCTGCTTTAAATTTGTCTCCGTTTTTGCATGGTGTCGGCTTCTTTTTGCGGAATCTCTTGTTAATTCAAACAGGTAAGTCTATAAGGCATATGTAGGTAGTTATCTGCTGTTGCCAGGTTTTCAATTTTGTAAATTGTATATTTAAGGTTAGATGTGCGTAATAAGGCCATGTTATATGGTTGCTAGAAGAATAAATACGTGACATGCGTCTGTGTGTAATATGCTTAAGGAATGTGTAGGTTTGTGTAGAGGCGAAAAGGTATCATTTGTTTGTCATCAATGCGAAGGCAAAAACAAGTTGATTTTTTTACTCGAAATCTATCTGGATTCAAGAATTATTTATTGTTGCTAATTAGAAATATAACTTCGTTTATTCAACAGTCTTGATTTATATTTTGATCCTGGCTTTATTAAAAACCAGATCATAGCCTTATTTGAATCGCTGGGTTCCTAATAAGGTCAACGGTAGTGTTTCAAAAAATATATATTTTTTATATGAAAAGAAAAGTTCTCAGAGCTCTCCGATACAGCTTATTCACTGAATATATCTAGAACAATACCTTTAAATTTCATTATCGTATCGCAAATATTTATGAAGTTACTGCAATCCGAACGTTAACGTCGCCTTATTTGCTACAGGTACTTTATATCAGAAATTTTCAGGAGGGGTAAAACAAAAAATTGTAGGTGGTTTGAAAAATAAGATTTAGTCATGGTGAACAGCTCAAACTGTAAACATCTAATTTATATTGATGCTCTCGACATTCATACCAACGCTATATGCGAATTAATGTAACCTCAAATGGTCAGCATCCACCGAGTAGTGAGGTCCAGAATTACCAGACAGATTGATAGAAATAACTGACATGATTTTTAGGTTTTTCTTAGAGACATCAGATAACACGTGGGAAGTCTGAAAAGATTATGTCTACAATGCTGATTCTGCACAAATCATACATTCTTGAAAAAGAAAAACATAGACTTCAGAATACAGTCCGTCACTCCCACTTCTTTATGCTGCCGTAAATGTAACTACGTACCGTCTACCTGGTGACTCTGGCTCTGGCAACGAGGTACGTCATGTAATCGATATCTCATCACGGTGAAAGGGTGAAATGGTGGCGGGAAGGGTGGGAAGTGCGTCCCCCGCGGCATCACGGCAACGGTAGCGGCGGCAGAAGCAGCTTTCCTACTATCTGCCGACGATGGCGATGACGCCCCAACGCGCTTTGATGTAGCATTCTACATCCCGCAATTGACAGTGGCGCCATCTACATGAATTGAAAGGGTTACCTGGCATACTATGCGTTATCATAAGTATTTCGCAGTCAAAACATGGTAATTATAACTGCTAAACTTGTGCTACCCCTCCAAACTGCCTGAGATTTAATGGAACATAACACCAATACATAAATCAAAAAATTATCGATCTATATCCGTAATATCTAATATAGCAAAAATATAGGGTGGCCAATATATAACTGACTGATTTAAATTGCGCGCCATTTTTGATACTCGCATTTCAGTAGGTGGCGCCGTAGTAGTTGTTTAAAGCACATGTGACCAATTCATCATGAAGCGTTACACGATACCACAACGCGTCCGTATTGTTAAAACGTTTTACTTAAATAATGAGTCGATTTTTGCAACGATTCGGAAGCTACAAGACTTCGGTCGAAATAATGTTCCCATTGTCAACATCATTCGTCAATTGGTGCGGAAATCTGAACAAACAGGTGAGCTTGATGATTTCCCAAGGTCGGGCCGTGTTCGAACTGTACGTACTCCGGAAAATATCGAGAGAGTTCGTGAAAGTGTAGAGGAGCGCCCTGAGACGTCTACCAGACATCGTTCTCAAGAACCGGGTATTCGTCGCACGTCATTATGCTCTATTTTAAAAAAAAGTCTTGCATTTGCGGCCATACAACATTCAGTTAACCCAAGAACTTCAGCCTAGTGACCATGGAAGTCGCCGTCAAGCAATATATGCAGCTTAATACCCAAAATAACGATTTTTACCGACAACTGGTAATGAGCGATGAAGCGCACTTCGATATGAAGGGATTTATTAATACGCAGAATTGTTGAATCTGGGCATTAGAGAACCCTCGTGTCATCCATGAACGACCACTACATCCTCGCCGAGTCACAGTTTGGTGCGGTGTTTGGTATGGCGGTGCTATTGGACCTTACTTCTTTGAAGCCGCTGCTGTTATTTCTCTTACTGTCACTGGCGAGCGCTATCGTGATTTGATGCAAAACTTTCTGGCTCATCAAATCCAACAATTTAACCTGCAAAACATGTGGTTTCAGCAGGACGGAGCAACTTGTCACACAGCTAGGAAAACAATGAATCTTTTGCGAACAATATTTCCGGGACGTTTAGTTTGTCGATTTGGTGATGTCAACTGGCGACCAAGGTCACCGAACTTAACAGTTCCTGACTTTTTTATGGGAATTTTTGAAAAATAGGGTTTATGCAACAAACCGAATACTGTAGGGCAGCTGAAGAACAATATTACGGTAGCGATTGAAAATATTCCTCCCGAAACCTATCAAAAAGTGATGGAAAATGTAATCAAGAGGGCTCAGGTTTGCGCGGCTTCTAGAGGCAGACATTTTCTAAGTTTCAATAAAAGATTGAGATGAAAAAAACCGACGTATTTTATTTCATTTCACAAATATTTAAGACACAAACCAGTCAGTTACATATTGGCCACTCTGTATTTGAGAAAATATTATCTGCTTGAATGCTCCGGTTTCTCGCTGAATATGAAATATTTTATGGATTTACCCAGGGGCAGTCTACATCCGAAGTAATATTAGATGGTGTTAATCAAATACACCAAAATCTTGATAACAAAATTCCTGGTCTTTATGTTTTTGTTCATCTAAGGAAATCTTTTGACCCAGTAAAACATAAATTATTGTTAAACACATTGGAGGGAGATGGCTTCTGGGAAGGATGCAATCATTAAAAAATTACTTATCTAATAGACAGCAATCTGTTAAAATATCAAAATTCTCCCGTGATTAATAAATGTGGCGTGCCACGAGGAACTTGTTTAGGTCCACTATCTTTCAATATATACTTGGTATATTCCAAATTAATTATGGGGGCAAAATGATAAGTTTGGCAGATAATACCGCAGTCCTTTATAAAGGTGGTATTGGGCTGATGTAAAAAAAAACATGGTTGATAATGATTTTATCAAAAATATTCAATGGCTCAATGACAGAAAATTGAGCATTAATTACTTTTAATTGCATTTTTAACCATTTTGTTCCTATACTAAAATCTACAGAATTACAGAAACATCTGTCTTAACATAAATAATCAGAAATTGGAAATTAATAAAGTGTCAGATACAAAATACCTTTAAATACACTTGCGTTGGGATGCTCATATTTCATATATTTTAAAAAAGTTGGATTAGTTTCATATAAAATTAAATGCTTCGAATATATTCTAAAGGGGAAATATCGTTTTTCTGACGTTTCGGCCTTGATCAAAATACAGATCAAAATGACGGTGACATATAAAATCATAAGATCATGTGATACATAATTTTGAAGCTCCTGATAAGTGTTCTGTAAATCTAGAATATAAAGTCTTCATATTTCAAATGAAACAGCATATTATGTGGGAAATTACTTTTTTCTGACGTTTCGGCCTTTTCAAAGTACAGACCAAAAATGGCATTGACATATATTTTATATTTATCTTCACAGTGTTGGATAGATTGTTGCAGCAGGTTTATGTGTTACATGAACTTTTATATTTATTTGTTCAGATAGGCCTGTTACATAAAACAATGATATACATTTCTTGTTCTGTTAGTCATTGCGTTGTTTTTTATTATAAATTTGCTGGCATCAACAAAAGTTCGAGGGTGGTTTTTTTGAGAAAGAATCTCTCTTACTTTTTTTAGGTTAGTAGATCTGCTATTAGGATGTGTCAACGATACCAAACAACACCCTGCCTGGTCTGTCAAACTGATAAAGACACTCCTTTTGTAGTTATTGAGAACATTGCTATCGTAATTTAAATACCTTTTAGGCCACAGGTTTTTAGTATGCCAATTCGTTATATATGACCCTCATTGTCATATTCAACTGTTATATCGAGAAAGTTAATATTTTTGTCAGTTTTAATTTCTTTTGTGAACTGCAGTCTGGGATTGGTTGGAAATTATTGCTTTCGATGTGATTATTATACGAGTATATGCCGAGTTGACAACCATCTGCATATACCTCTTATAAAAAATGGCTTTGACTCACAAACTTTCAAGTATTTTTCAGTTGTTCCATAACCAAGTTATCTAGAAACATAAATTGTTTTGTTACAATGGTGTATCATTTCCAAAAGTACATGACCCTAATATGGCTTTGATGCCAATTGTAAGCAATATTAGAACCCCAACATATCAACTGGAAAAATATCTTTCGAACATTATAAAGAACATTTTGAGAAAACTTATACATAACACCTCTCAGAAAAATGTATAATGAATAATACTGGGTAAAAGACCAGTAATATGTAGAAATTTGTTTTGCACGTGGCATCAATCTGCAAATAAAATAGTTGCAGGCACCTACCTGTCTTTTCACAGTTATTCCACCAGTTTTGGAAATAAGTCGAACATAATTTAATTCATGACATAATGGCATGGGAAGGACAAAGTCAATCTACCTGACGCCATTTCTGTACTTCTGTACCTCTTACCCTAGAAAGCTCACTGCTACGCCCCAGATCAAGAAGATCGATGATGTCAGAGCCAAAGATTTAAAACTAATATCAAAGTTAAATATAGGGGGAGATGAGGCAAACACATGGTGTAATTGCTTGAGGCTCATAAGGGTAATTGGGTAATTCAAAGCTTAATATTTAATTAGTGCGAATCTAGGTACTACATGGATATAAGCATATGCATAATTATCTATTTCATGCAGTATCAAAGTATATAATAGTATGACTAAATCAAATCTAGTCTAACTGAAATAATTTTAGTTGATTTAGTTGATACCATTTTAACTTGTTTTTAAGTTAGCTTTGTAGATGTAGGTTTGACCTAAAGAGACAAATTTGAATCAATATATTTGCAAGGTAAAGGGTTTTCCATTAAGGACTTGACAACTTTCTTTTTAAATAAAACGCAAACCATTTGAGATATCTCGAAAATTTTATTATTGGATTGATGTATACACAAAACATTCATGTATGGAACTCATATGTCCACCACGGGCACGTTGGCAGCAATCGATTCGTTGAACCCAACTTTCAATGACTCGGCCACACATTTCGACAGAAACGGCAGCTATCTCTCGTTCAATATTGGCTCTGAGCTCCTCTAACGACGCCGGCTTGTTGGCATAGATCATGATGATTTAATGTAGCCCCACAAAAAAGTCTAGACGTGTTAGATCACACGATCTAGGTGGCCATTCGGGCGGACCATTTCTCGATATAACACGTTCACCGAATTTTGATTTCAATATATCGATGATTTCACCCGCTGTGTGGCTTGTGGCACCGACTTGTTGAAACCACATGTCTATCCCATCCAATTGACCAGAAAAATAACGTTGCACATTGTATCCGCAGCGATCTGCGTTGACTGTAACGTGACGATCATTTTCATCAACGAAAAAAAAAAACCGGCATGAAAACCACACCATACAGTGATTTTTTGTGGATGAAGTGGTGTTTCTTGGAGCACATGAGGGTTTTCACCTGACTAATAACGCATATTCTGTTTGTTGACGAAGCCGTTTAGCAAAAAATGCGCCTCATCACTGAAGATGGTTTTGCAATGAAATTGGTCATTTTCTTGCAACATTTCTAGAGACGAATTCGAGAACGTACGTCGGTTCATGTTATCGAACGGCTTTAGTTCTGGAATTAACTTGATCTTATAAGGGTGCGGGCCAAGATCTCTTGTGTGGTCTGAGCGATGCCCAATTCTTGAGAACGCCGTGGTATCGACGTTTTCTGTTGGCGAGGGAAGCTTGAACGGCAGCAATATTCTGGGCACTTCGACCAACCCGTTGTCTCACTGGCAGCGGAAAATCCAGCAGCGAATATGTGGATTCGAATTTTTTACTAGATTAGGAATTGTTTGTTTACTGGGATGAGAATTATGAGCAAAAATTGGCGTTAACGCTCTTAAAGTTGCAGTTACCAACTCGGAATTTCGGTAATAAATTTTAATTATTTGTAAGCGTTGTTCGTTCGTGTACTTCACCATGATGAAAATGTTTTCTTCACTGAATGTTTTGACATTGACAGTTCGGTAATTGACTTAAAGGTGCGTTCACAGCGAAAGTTCAAAGTCGTCAAGTCCCTATTGGAAACCCGGTATTAATAATAAATAATATCATCATGCCACATGATTAAATATATACTAAGTGACATATAAATCCGAACACCCAGTTTAAATGGTTTAATTTTAATAAAATTTTGTATAAGTACTTAATGAAGCATAATAAGTAAATGATAAAAATTCCAAAATGATTGCACTGCTTTAAAGCCCTTTGACCTTTAATAATGTGTGGATGCATCCTGATGTGCTACGCATTCTCCAACGCGCCTAGGCATGCTTCTGATCAGGTGGTCAATGTCCTCCTGTGGTATCTCATTCCAGGCAACCACCAACTCCTCTCGAAGTGCTTCTAGAGTCTGAGGAGGACGTTGCAAATTGAGCAATCTCCTAGCCATCATATCCCACACGTGCTCAATTGGGGATAAGTCGGGAGATCTTGGTGGCCATGGTAACAATGTAACATCATTATGTTGAAAGAAGTCTATTGTGACTCTTGCAACATGTGGTCGGGCATTATCTTGTTGGAAAGTTGGATCTGCCAGGGTGTCAAGATAGGGTAAAAGATAGGGTTCTAGAACTTCGTGGATATAACGCTGCGCGTTCATGTTACCTCTGATGAAGATTAAAGGTGACCTGGAACCATAAGCTATAGCACCCCAAACCGTAACTCCAACAGTGTGATGAACATGTCTTTCAACAAAAAACTGTGGATTCCTCCTTTCACCACGTCGCCTTCTAACCCTGGCACGACCATCGTGCATGCCTAAACAAAATCGAGACTCGTCACTAAAGACAATACTGTTCCGTTCCTGATCCCAGAGTGACCGTTGTCTGCACCACTCAAGGCGATTACGTCGGTGTTCTCGAGTTAAAGGGAGGACCCAGTGTGGCCGGTATGAAAACAAGCCAAAACTTCTCATTCGTCGGTAAACACTTCGCATGCCAATAGGTCTTCCGTGTTCTGCAAACCATTCATTTGCAATGGACCTGGTAGTGGAGAAACGGTCCCTTAAGGCCAATAATCTTAGGCGGCGATCTTCACGGTCTGTTGTTCTACGGCGGCGTCCAGTGCCCCTTGCTCTTTGCGTACGGCCTTCTCGAAGCCATGCCTGACAACACCTAACCACAGTGTCTACACTTCTTTGCACTCTAACTACAATTGCCCGAAAAGAAAGTCCAGCTTCCGGAAGTCCCACTATCCGGCCCCTATCAAACTCACTAAGTTGACGAAATCGTACAGGTCTCCGTACTCTAGGCATCGTAACCGATCGTAAAGGATGTCAAGAACCAAAATCCGCCAACGTTGATTCTTTACTGCGGCTGAAATATTCATTTTTAGAGCGTTAGTGAATTAAAAAAAAGCAGTATAAGAACCGGAATGTCCAACTGATAAGGCTGAACATTTTTTCACTTGTTATTTACAGTAAGATAAATACATTCACCAACTTTTATTAAAATATAACCATTTAAACTGGGTGTTCGGATTTATATGTCACTTAATATAATCGAGTATATTGCTACAGTTTTCGGGTTGAGGCTTATAACACTGCTGACATTGTTCACCTCGTTATACTGATGCACTCGCAAAATCACCCCCTCAGAGGGATAGCGTCAAATGATCTTGCCAAGCAACGGTGTCATCAGTTGATGGATTATGTTTCTCTGAGAAAAAATTCGGTCTCGAACATGCATAACAAGAGAATTAAACGGATCAAGTCTGTCAAACAGACCCATACAATTAGTCTACAGAATTTTTTCCCTGCGCTACGACAGTAACGGCGACCTGGCAACGTTGTTATGGCTAACCACGTCCATAATATCTTGCCGCTCGCCACACCCCAGCATCCGCACCATGGCAGTCACCACTGGCTACAAAACAATGAAACAAACACTCATCGGTGAGACAACGCTGGAAGTATACCAAGAAACGCGTGTATTGAAAATATTTCATCATTCCGTTTTAAGAGCGAAAGTATGGGGAAATCTATGATGTGTGAAATATGTCTAATAGGCGCGTAGAATTACCAGGGTTGAAGGTGTATGCATATATACTTACGCTAACTAACAAGAAGATTGAGATCTTCCTCTCCACCTACAACTCCATTGTTCAATCCCTACAAATGTTTTCCTGGAAATGATCAGGAGCCTTGAAACATCAAAAAACGAAGTTTGAGCGAAATTGAACCTTGTATGAAAATTTCATCAAAATCATACAGACTGACCAACAAATGTATGTAGGAATGAGAGAAGGTAGCGGCACGACCGGAATAAGTAGGTCCAAAGCAGTGGTCGCCAACCCGTCGATCGCGAGCTACCGGCTCGCAAAGGAAATTCTGGTGACTCACAACATCTTCTAAAAAGGTGTAAAAATCATAGAAGCTTCCGTAAATTTTGTAAATTCTCATAATAAACACAAACAGCGGCAACACTGCGGTGAGCGATCTGTTCGAGAACGATCTCGATTTCTTTGAAAGGAATAAATATGCAAGGCGCAGCGACAGTGCGCTCAGCTTAAAACTAGACGGCAAATCATTATGAGCAAGTAGTAAGAAGATGAAGACATACCATTTCCATTCGGAATGGGAAGAACAATATTTTTCCACAGAAGTTAAAGGTAAAAATGTACGTTTGTTATGTAATACATCTGTTTCCGTTGCTAAAAAAAGGGAATACCGGGAGGCACTATAAAACTGTACATTCGAATTTTAAAAGATCATTTCCATTACGTTCTGCAACCAGAACGGAAAAACTGAAACAATTAAAAAGTCAGTTAATTTGGACAACAGACAATGTTTTTAATAAACAATCGACAAAAGTAAGGCTGCAACTGTAGCATCATACCGGGTGTCCCAGATGATTACACAAAAGAAGAAACCCTATGAAGGCGTTTTTGCCAACTTTAGAAATAAAGGCGAGATAGTGCCTGCTAAAAAATCTATGCAACTTTCTGCTAATACGGTGGTGAGACGAGTAGAAGTAATAAGCAATGATATAGTTTTACAACTGTGTACAATTTCATTCCTACAACTAGGTAGCTCACTGTTTAATCCAAAATTATCAAAGTAGCTCAACACACTGAAAAGGTTGGCGACCATTGGTCCAAAGAATACTTGAAATTAATCTGGTTCAAAAATATTTCTATACCGTGCGAATCATTTACAGTTGAGGTTCGCCGGATTTCAATGAGTAGCGAGAAAAGCGTGCAACGTGTATGTTAGAAAGAGTGCGCCCACAAGTAATTACCACGTTTCGTGCCAACGACAGAGAGGAAGGTCACAAAGCACTCTTCCTAACTATGTTTAACATATTTGTTGCACGCTTCTTTCTCATACACATTAAAACTTAGCGGCCCTCAGCCGTGAATGATTCGCATGGTATGTCTTACTCAGGTTCTACGTGCGTCAGCCCTTGAATCTTTGACAGGGCTTGCAGACACGCTGCAACTTTGCCCGGCCCGATAAAGGGATTTTACTACCACAGCCTCGATTTGGTCTGTTCATCTATCGGGTTTTCCAATAGGGGCTTGACAACTTTGAACTTTCACTGTGAACGTACCTTGGAATCAATTACCAAACTGTCAATGTCAACATTTTCATCATGGTGAAGTACACGAACGAAGAATGCTTTCAAATAACTAAAATTTACTACCGAAATTCCGAATCGGTTCTGAACTGCCTCGTTGCATTTCTTATATTTTTTTGAGCTCACCTTTCTTTTTGAGGATATAAAAGGTTTAGAAGTAAGTAAAAGAACACGCATGAGATCATTATTCGTATCTGTTCTTGAACATTTTCTGGTGTGAGATAATCGATGTTTCCTAACCTCTTTATGACGAGCCTCAAGCGCATCCTCCGACAGTTCTCCAATGGGCAAATAAAATGCATCAATTATCTCACACCCATAAACAAGAACCTTATGTACCGTGTTTGGCATGTTGTACCACTTATAAAGGTGGATATACAAATTTCTTGCTTCTTCCAGCAATGAGGCAAACTTTTCCATATCAATAGCGCAACCACTAGCTAACACTCCTAAGATGATCGCAAATTTCTCGATTAATTCCCTGTCAACCCCTGTGATATCTGAACTTTTTTGTGGATTGTGGAAAAAAATTCTGGCCGTATTGCCATCATTTGAGGAGCCATACCCGGATTTTGGTTTGTCAACTATTAGAGACAGCTTGGCTCTGAACTCTGCTTGGATTCGTTTTTTGTTTGCTTCGACTATAGCTTTGTTTTCAGGCCCACGAACCTGCCAAGATTTAATTGGCAGGCGGTATCCAATATGGAGTTAGCATTCAAAAAAACGAATCCAGCAGTGTAAAGTTGACAAACCAAACCGGTAATTGTCTACGTTAGGAGGACGGTTAATCCCTGCTAACGTGTTCATGTCCTTGGGTGTGGCTCCGCAAATGATGCACTTCATAGTTGAATTTGTCTCTGATAGAACGTTTCCAACACTGCCGTCCAACATTGTTAACATCATATCAACTTCAATTATATAAGAGTGCTCTTCTTTTGTTTTAATCTCAATAGGAATCAAATTTTCAATTTTTGTTATTATTTCCTTTTCCGTATTCCGCACTAAATCAGCATTTTCCTTTTTAAATAAAAACTTGATCGGCCTACAATATAAAGTAGATGAAGGGCTCTCATTTCTCCACAATACCTTATTCGTTTCCATATCAATCAATCTGAGTGGCGTCATTGCTACAAGAAACAGAAATTCGTCGGTGTTTTCTAAATCAGAAAATTTCTGCTTATATTGGCTATGCCCAGAACTGCCATCAAATCCCCACTTGCATATCACTTTAATCCGGCAATCTCTCTCTTCAAAATTTATTATTTCAAGGATACTTTCAGCTGTTTTCTGTAGAAGTTCTTGCAAATCAACTTCTGCAGAAATTTCAGTAATAATAAATTGTGAAGGGACGATAGCATTTTTTGTTTTCTGTAATTCTTTATAACTAGGAAGGCAGTTCTGGGCCTTACCATTAATAACAGACCTAAGTATCAAATACTTTCTTACGGATATATCCAAATCGACCATAAGGGCTAAAGCTTCAGCTGTATTAAAACTAAAAATTTGTGGCGAGACCTCACTGTGATTGCTTCCAGAAACGACATTTACAGCAAATTGAAGTTCATTTGCAATCTGTCTGTGGTTAGTTCGGCTACACGTCTTCGTTTTGTTTTCTTCGATGCCTCTTCAAATGGCACCCGTGGCCGTCCAACTGAGCGACAAGGAGGTTCTTTTTCCTCATCCGAAGATGTGTTTTCTTCAGAATCATTATTTATTCTATATATAATCTTGTCTAACCAATATACCTGATTTTGTAAAAGTCGATTCCGAGATTGTCCTACTTTCTGCCATTTATTTGCCATTTTCAACCCAAACAACTGGCTGCATTTCATAATATTACTTTTAAGATGTTTGGAAGCTTCATCTGTTATATCAATAAGAGATAATATCTTTTCATAAACCACCTGTTTTCTATTTCCTCTCAGTGGCATGACGTGATTTAAACTTCTTATCAAAACTTACTATGGACAGATAAACAATAAATAAAAATTTTTTTAGGGTGATGGGAGGTGATTTTTGTAAAAAACTAAACAAAGTCAAAAGTTTAAAAAAAATTAAAAAATTGGTAATAGTCACTTTAACTTAAAAAATTGTCTAATTATAATTATATTTTAAATAAATCTATACATCAATATAATGTACTTACCAGCCTCATTACCAGCCATATTGGAAAAGTTAAAATATTTAAATATTTCGACACAAAATTTATATCTTTCCCGAGCAATAAAACAGAGATTTTTCGCCTTCTTGACAGGTCTCGACATGTCTAACTTTAAAGTTGCTAAAATAGGTAAATCTCAGCCAACTTGATTAAAGTACTATACTTACGTGTTGCAGTGACTATTTATCTATCCAGTGGTATAATAAAAGCAACAGAATTCTAATGTCAAAAATTATGTTTTTGAGTAATTTTGTCCATTGGGCGCCACACTGTGAATCGGTGCCACACAATCTACATATTCAAATTAAAATTTGGTGAACGTGTTATATCGAGAAATGGTCCTGGCAAATGGCCGCCTATATCTTGTGATTTAACACCTCTAGACTTTTTTTGTGGGGTTACATTAAGTCGTTGGTCTAAGCCAACAAACCGGCGTCGTTAGAGGAGCTTAAAGCCAATATTGAACGAGATATAGCGGCCGTTTCTGTCGAAATGTGTAAATTCCACAAATAAATGTTTTGAGTATACTTCCATCCAAATGGTTTGCGTTTTATTTAAAAAGAAAGTTGTCAAGTCCTTGATGGAAAACCCTTTATAAGATAGAGATCGTCATTGTCTTTGGACTTCTGCCTTCGCTTCTAATATCATTAATTCCATTCTCTCTGTTCTTCTGGCTCAATCTACTTGTCCCATTTTGTCTACCATGATTATGCGACACTACATCAACGAATTTTATTGTTAGTAATAGCTTCCGGGTTGATGATTTATTACTTTGGTGACATTGTTTACATCAATACGCTAATGCAACCACAAAATCACCCTCTCAGAAAAAAGAACCCAACAAAACAATTAGATAAATGTCCGTAGGAAGAGGAGGAGGTAGAGGCAGCGTGCTCCATCCATAAATCAGCGAGGCTCACAAAGAGAGGCAGACGACGGTTGCCGCACGTCGCAGTCGCCGATGCGACAGTCATTTGTTATCGTGGAGACGCGTGTGCTGCCACTCATCGACGGATGGACCGACCGGAAGTTCCGGAACCGGACACGTTCGGAAGCTACCGCTCCATTGTTTTTGCTCTCTGCGCTATTTATGGGCCTTTGTGATGGGATTGCGTGCTAGCCATCAGACGTATTCCTCGAGGCTCCAGATTTTCTTATCGTTTTATTTCCAACTTACGGTAACCACAGAATGTACCGTGAAACGGGGTGGTTACTTCGGCATATTTGTTGCTCTGAAAAGGAAACTACGAGCCCCTTCCCACTTCAGTTGGCCCACTTCAAGATTTGTACCAAAATATGCCTTCATAAATTAAACATGACGAAACAATTTACTTCTAAAACAATTTATTTTCTCAAAAACATTTTAGATACACTCTAGTCTTAAAAAATACATATTTGAAATCACTTAGACCTATAACTAATAGAACATCTGAACAAATAAACAATGTGCGAATAAATACGCGAAGTTAACAAAGCAACAATTGAAAGATTACCATTGGGTAACATCACCTTTATTTTTTATTACGGCTGAAATTCTTTGGGGCATAGTATTAACCAAGTTTTGGCAAAAATTTGGTGTAAAACAATCCCATATTTCTTGAAGCTTTTGTCTCAGTTCGGTGATTGTACGAGCAGGATGTTGTCGTAGAACCTTTTTCATCTCGTGCCACAAAGTTTCAATAGGTGACAGATCTGGACTGCTAGAAACCCATTTCAAAAGTGGTACATTATTTTCTTCCATCCATTTTATAGCCTTTTTTAAGGTATGGCACGCTGGACCATCTTGCTGAAACACAAAATCTTGGCCGGATGTCAAACATTCTTCCATCACTGGTAAAAGCGATTCTTCTAATATTGCCAAATATTTGTTTGTATCCACATTTCCATCAATAAAATGAAGTTTTCCTACTCCTTTTGAGGACGTACTGCCCCAGACCATAAAGGATGCTCGAAATTTCACTTTTCTCTTCAAACAGTCAACATGGAATGCTTAATTTTTTTTGCGAATAACTCTACTGCGACTATCACCAACACAAACTTCGAATCGGGCCTCAACACTCCATTGTATTGCACACCATTGTTCAGGTGTCCATTGTCTATGTTGTTTAGCCCATCTAAGCCGATTTTTCTTTTGTAGTGGAGTTAATAGAGGCTTTTCTTTGGCCTATAAACAAGTTGTGCAACTTTAGGGTTTTTGCTTCACTTTTTTTTATAAGAAAACTTACCTTGCAAGTGCTAAATCCCAGTTTGTGGGCCTCTCTATGAGTTGTGGACCTCTCTATGAGTTGTGGACCTCGAAATTCTCCTTCCAACAGCGTCACTCCAAAGAGCACTTAATTGTAAATAATTGGCACGCCTGTTTTTCACGATTATTCTTCTTAATGCTTTTCGGTCGGCATTTGTGATATTACTTTTTTTCACATATCGTGGCTTAATATTAACTCAACCAGTTACGTTATACCTTCTAACAATATTTCTCACACTGTACCGCGATAAGTATAACAAAGTTGCAATTTCTGAGTTTGATTTCCCAGAATTAAAAAATTTAATAACCTTTCCTCTACCCATTTTGAAAACCTTAACTACCCAAAACTATTTTAAACGTATTCTGACAGCTGTGATTAATAAAAACAATTGTCATGGCTTTTATTTTTCACAGCCACCTACGTTATAGACTTATTTTGCATTGAAATAAAAATAGGTTGATATGCTGTAATTGCAACATGTGTTATTTTTATGCTGCAAATTTGGGGAGTGATAAAGTTGGTGTTTTATACTATATATTATCAAAATATTCATTGTTAATATTTTAAACCTATAACACCCTGCTACATTTTTATTATTTGTGTTTGATAAGTAAAAAACTAAGATTTCAATAGTTGGGCCAACTGAAGTGGGAAGGGGCTCGTATACGCTTGACAAGCTTGGCTCCTACGCGATTGTAACAATTGAAGCCTTGGTCCTATTGATTGATCGCACCCCCCGCCCTTTACCTTTTTTGTCTATTAGTGGTGTCGAAGTTACCATCCCGGGTTGGGGGTAACTTCGGCACCATGCAGAATTATGCATAAAATCTAAGTTTGCTTTCTCCAGGTCAACTTCGACACCGAAAAATGTAAAAATTACTATAAACAATCAATCAAATGAATAACCAACAATCTTAGAGGCCTAAATTAGACAAATGGGTCAATAAAAGCAGTACTTCCAGAAACTCATTTACTATTTAGCAATTTTGGTAAGATATAGTCGGCATATAAATCTAAACTAAAAAACATCCTTTTAACTAAACAAAAACTCATTAAAACAGTAACAGTAACAAAGTAGAAAAGATTCAATATACAGGGTGTTTCAGTTTATTGTTGCATAACTTTAAGATTCGATAGAACTTTTAAAATTAATGCATAAAGTCTATATAAACATGGATCGAAAAATGCGTGGCTTCCGAAATACAGGGTGTTTAAATTTACTTTCTAAAATAGTTTTTTTTAAATATTTCGAACAATATTTGATGTATAACAGTGAAAATTGGTTGGTTTTTTGGTACGACAAAACGAACCATGGGCCTAGTTTTACTATAGCCGCTAGAGGGCGCTCTCTACTGTACCTGTAGTGTATTAAGATGACCGAAAAATTTTTCTTAGTGCAATTTTTTGCTTTTTGAATAAAAAAACTGATTCTTCGCACTTTTCAACATAAAAAAGCTCTCTTGTGAATTTTCGTTATAGTTAGCCGTTTTTGAGATATTTCGATTTTTAAGGTTCGATGCATTTTCAATTATTTATGGGAAAACAATATTTTTTTTACATGTTCGATTTGGGCATTACAAGTAATTAAGATGATCGTTTAGATTGTGTTTTTAAACAAAGCAATAATTCCTAACTCCAAATAAACACAAAAAACAGAATATTAATTTGTTTATTTTTCCAATATTATTTTTAACAAATTAAATTAATTATTCACAACTAAAATGCTATTGGATAGTTAGGACAAACATACAAAATCTAAAGCAGTTGCTCGAAATGTAAACCCAATTGTTCAATACACAATTCACATCTACGAATGATCGAACGTGGTATAACATTATTCAAATAAGGCCTTATTTCATCACATGCATTCCTGATTCTGTCTATTAGCATAGTCTGGTACACTTTTTCTTTTATAAATCCCCACACAAAAAAATTTAATGGGTTTAGGTCAGGGGGTCGTGGAGTCCAGGCGACTGGTGCTCCACGGCCGATCCATCTTTCTGGATAATTTTCGTCCAGCCAGTTTCTAACTATTCTCGAATAATGAGCTGGACATCCATCAAGCTAGAACCAGGCCAATCTTCTTAAATCTAACATAACATGCATATTTGCATGTTCAGCCTTTAAAAATTCCAAGAAGGTCGCAGCATTTAACCTTGCAGGCAAAAGGTAGGGTCCAAATAGTCGATTACGGTAGATACCAATCCACACGTTCACACTAAATTCATGCTGAACATTTCTTTCCCGAACTGCATGCGGATTTTCATGCGACCAAATACGTTGATTATGAAAATTTACCACTACACGTCTAGTGAAGCATAACTCATCGGTCCATAAAGCGTTACTTAAAAACTCCCTATTATTATCAGTTCTATCAAGAATCCACTGACAAAATGTGATTCTTCGTTCTCCGTCCCCTGGCTGTAGTCCTTGCACAGGTTGCAAACAGGTAAAAGAAACTAAATTTCGTGCATTCACAATTGCAAAAAAACGTTTCAGGTTTCAACAGACAACAAAACTAACTGTCAACTAATTGACGTTTAACCTTATTCTGCTTTCAATTTCAAAAATATTTGCAGGCACAGCCTACTTCTAAAAATTATCGAGATACTGAGTTTTTAACGTTATTTTATCATAAATAATTAAAAATGCATCGAACCTTAAAAATCGAAATATCTCAAAAACGGCTAACTATAACGAAAATTCACAAGAGAGCTTTTTTATGTTGAAAAGTGCGAAGAATCATTTTTTTTATTCA